AGTTTTACAATTTTACACATCGATCTCTTTGATATGTGTAATGACTAATGTGTCTTTTTACGCTTCGGTTGAATTTAAAAAATAAAAAAAAAAGGAAGCTAGCTATTTATCTTTTTTATGTGTATGCAGCATAAAACCTTGCAAGAAGAACATACGATTCTTCAGAAAAGAGTGAGCATTTTCTTGAAAAGTATATGTTAATTGATAATTAACTTAATATTTGAATTTGAATTTAAAAAATCTACTCCTTTCTGCTATATTTTGAGATCAAGCTTCATGAGCTGCTGAACGAAGCTGATGAATACTCAGGCTTGGATTCATCTGGTCATGCAATTCAAAGGTAAACTGATTCTTTAATACATAAATAAAATATAATATTGATTATTAGTTTTCTAAAACATATTTAAACTGTACTTCAGAAATTAATAGTTATATACAATAAATTAGAAGATGTTTTGATTTTAAAAACGCACACACGGTTTTTTTTTTTTTTTTTAATTTATTCGACGTAAATAATAAGCAAATCAAATTTTTTATTGAATAAACTTTGGTTTATAGATAATTCTATATAAAGGAGGAATCTTATCAAGTTTTGACACATCAAATCTAAAAACATTTTTTGATGCTCAACAACGATTTTACATATTCGATATAAATAAGAAGCCAATCACATTTTAGTTAAAAACTTCTTACATATTCGATACAACTATATTAGTTAAAAACTTCTTAAAAATATTGATTTTACATATTCGATACAAATAAGAAGCCAATCTTATTTTTTTATTGAATAAACTTCGGTTTATATATAATTCTATATAAAGGACGAATGTTGTTAGGTTTTGACACATCAAATCTAAAACCATTTTTTGATGCTTAACAACGATAGTTTTATATCCTTGATTTTAAATTAAGGAAAAAATGTACATACCTTATAGTATTATTAATTAGAAAGAATATGTAAATATATATACAATAACATTTTATACATTTGCAGGTTTATTCCAGATGGGCAATCTCATTCACCACTCAACGTGAACCAGCTCGGTTTTTCCAACAATTGATTATATTTTCGTTATTTCTCCAATGGTTAAGATTATTACCATCTTGTCGTTGTCATTAATGTAGTAAAATATATATTAAAAAGAATTGAAGTAGTTTGGTTACTGTAAGGTATATATTGCGCGAGTAATAGTTCCTAAGTTTGTTTTTATGTAAAACATGATTGGTCAAACTTGATTGATCTTGAAAGGCTTTATGTAATTATATAGATGTTTGTATTGTTTAATCTTTGTGATTATTTGTTATGTATATTATGTGTGTATGATAATTAGGTTACTCATTAAGCTTCCATAGCTTAATCGATATTTGTCGTTGTGTCTTTAAGGATCAAGTGGACTCGATAAAGGTAAATAAGTAATCGAGAGGTAGAAGAGCTTAATATTTAGGTTGATAGTAACTCTAGACTTAAATCATAATATAGTTTTGTTGTATTCGATCGTTTTATAGTTACTTGTAAAGTACTTATTAATATAATTTATTAATATAATGAACACAATGTTTTTTCTTCTAAATTAAGTACGCATTATATTAATTTGTCTAGTGGTAATTATTGATACATGTTGTAAACTTTAACTTTAACGGATTTAAATTCGATCCGTCAAATATTTAAGCGATTAGAGCATCTTCATTGGTGCTCTCAATCATTGGCGGAGCTTCAATGGGGGGCTGTGGCCCCTCCTGATTTTTTGGTTTGATATAGTCCTTCTAGTTCCATTTTATAAATTTTAAACCCAAAAAATATAAAACTTTGGCTGTGGCCCCCCCCTGCTTACCAATTTTTATACATATTATATTTTCGAGCCCCCCCCCCCTCCCGAATTAAATGTTGAAGCTCCGCCCCTGC